TGATGTTTTGCCTACACTCCTTTTAGTCACTTTTTAACAATTTAAGTAAAAAATGTACATGAGGTTCCCCGTGTGTCGCTCCCGACACCCTAGCCGCTGCAACTGCCGCCACTGCAGACCCGTTCCGTCTTTGATTAAATAACTTTTTGAGTATTCCAATGTCTGTCTTGCCTGAATTCTGGGTCCTACGTTTTGAGCCTCTGAAATATATTTTCTCTCTTACACACACACATTCAAATCTGGCACGCAAACTTTCTCCTCTCACTCATACATTCCACTCTCACCTGCATACATTCTGCTCTTACATGAATACAATATATTCTTCTCTGAGATAGATACTTAAAGTTCTTCAAATTAAATTCTTAATGCATTGTGTGGTACAGAAAGTAATTCTTAAACTAGAAAATGCACTGCATATTTTATGGCATATGTCAGCAGAATATGTATTTTAATTACTGCATAATGAATCTATTCACTTTGCTTAATATGCATTTACTATGCATATTATACTACATTAAAGACCAGGTACAGTATAACTAAATGCGTGTTCTCAGCTTTTCACACCACAGAAATATGTTTTATTAATCACCCATCCAAATCTGAATGATTAAAAAACACAAGTAAGGGTATAAAATAGGTATCCTAAATAATCAAAACTGAGACCCTGATGAAGTGTCCGTTAAAACCGCTTAAACCATGTCCACTCAATTTTATCCTACTGCGGCAGTTAAAATAAATAAAATGTATAAACTCACACTGCTATCGTTGTTTTGGGAGACTTTTTGCACATTAAGACTAATACATTTATGACATTTATAATGTGTTTATTCAAAAGCTAGAATACCTATTGTTGTTGTCACAATCAAGCCTAACCCCACTCTGTACTTCTCTAGGGGCTACTACATAGAAAACAACCTGAGTTCATAGATCTCTGGATCTACAGTCTACTATGTTTTAGGGAAACACAATGTAACAGAAATCAAAACTAGTATCAAACCCCGAAAATATCCCAAAGAACCCAGATTTGTAGACATTATTACGCCTCAGAATACAAACACAGGACCCAGAACTTTGTGCTCTGGTGACAGCAGAACCACCTTCTGTTAAATGCAGGGAAAACCAAAAAGCTAGTGGTGGACTTTCGCAGAAGCAGATCCACCCCACTGACACCGGTGAACATCCAGAGAATGGACATTGAGATAGTGGACTCATAAGTACCAAGGTGTTCATCTGAATAACAAACTGGACTTCACTCACAACACTGAGTCTCTGTATAAGAAAGGTCAGAGCAGACACTTCCTGCTGAGGAAACTGAGGTCTTTTGGATTGCAGGGGATGCTCCTAAAAAAGCAAGTTATGTGATTGGATGCCCTCTCGACTCAGTGCAGGAGGATGGAAACAAAAGGATCCTAACTAAATTAAAATCTCTGTTGGATAATGTCTCCGTCCCCGTGCATGAAGCTGTTGCAGAACTGGAGAGCTCCTTCAGTGAGAGACTGCTGCACCCTAAATGCACCAGGGAGCGTTATCACAGATCCTCCCTTCAAGAAGCTGTAAGAATAACTACCACTGTTCCCAACAACCTCAGTAAGTTGTTAAAATTCATGCTGATTTTGCACATTTTCCACCTTAGTCGGTTAAATAAAATACTGCTGTCATTTTGCACATCTCTGCTTTTGGGCAGGGACAGCGTCGGTGGGTCCGGGGATCGGAGTGCAGCAGGAGAAACCAGGTAGATCCGGTGAGGCTTCACAGCCATGCTTGGTAATACCAAGGGAGCACAAGAGAGAGTCCAGCACAAAATCCAGGACGTAGGTAACCAGAGAATTTGTTGAGGTATCCAACATGCGAGGAAGCCAATGGGAGCACAAGAGGGAACCACAACGGTTAACACTCTGACGTCCTCCAGCTGTCTGAGTGCAGTTCTTATAATGCCACTGAACGCTGCTGAACCAGCTGCAGGTGTACACACCCCGCCCACCTGTTAACTACAGTCACCTGTGGAGAGAGCAGAAATATGGCAGAGGCAGCAGGGCTGTCCTGACACGTAGCAAATTCTACAGAAATTGTGGACATTCAGTTTCTGTATTTGAGACACCTTTATCATTTAGTTTTAACTGGTACATTTTTCTTGGTGTATAAGTTATGGCTAAACTGTACAATAAAATTGCAGGATTTAAAAGTTCACAGCTCACAATGCATGTTCTTACACTGTACCTGTCAACTCTCTGATGAAATCTACCTGCTACGTCTTCGTCCAAGACATGACGCCGGTCGGATTCGTCAGTCTGGAAGAAGAAAAAAAAGAAATCCCTTGTTTGCACATGCGCAGCGTGTGAGGTTCTTGTAAATTGGCTCCTAGAACATTGTAACTGCGTCAACAGCAGGATTTGCTCACAATACGAGGGCCGACTAAATTTCAAACATGTTTCAAGTTAAAGGGTAGGGCTTACCTCACATAACAACAACAAGGACAAAGGGGCACATCTGAGCTGCAAGATAAAGGCCCTCAATGAGTTAAATTTGAAACCACTGGTTTAAAATAACCTGATTAATTGAATAGGATGAAGGAAAACTTGTTATGGTTTTTACGTTTTTAAAGTTGGATCTATTCACCTCTGACAATAAACAAATCATCAACATGTAATTTTCATATATTGAAGAGTTCACAACAAAATGTAGAAACTTAATAGAAAAGGGACACTTTCAGCTAATCTATAGAAACAGTGTGCATTGTAAGTTCCAGCTGAAGTAGGATGTGTGATGTGTTTGATCTTAATTTTTTATTTTTCTAAAATCTTGGCTTGTACTTTACTTTCTTTATTTGATCAATTTTAATACACTTTTTGACAATAGTAATGGTTTCTACCGATATAATAAAAATTTTATTTCTTATAAAGAGATACACTTCCTGGTTATGAAAATAAAATTTTCATAATCAGCAAACAAGGGAATCAATCAAGCTGATCTATTTTTTTGTGATAGTGACTGCCAGTTAAACAGACACCCTAAAAAGTTAAACCAAAAATATGTGTAACTTAAAGTGACATGATCGCTCAGAAATAAACAGATTAAACCTTGTTTTACAACACGCCAGGTTAAAGATCAGAATTTTCCAATGTTTTAAGCTTTAAAAGCTTTGGTGCTGACCTTTGAAGAAGAGAAGCATGTACCTTTAGTTTTGTACAATCGTGTTCAGTTTTTGTTATGATGCTGAAGGTTGTAATCTCTTTGTCCCGATTTGTGAACTGTAACCTTTTCTCATCTGATTAGCAGTAACATCCCTTTATTTTACCCAGCTCTTGACACAAACACCTCCACAGATCTATTGGCTTTAAATAACACGTCATATCTTGTCACATGTAATTAGGATCACATTGACTGAAATCGGTAAACCTTAATTTCATTTATAAATACACAGTTGATCCTAATGCTTACGCAATTCCCTGTTACATCAGTAATATTCAGTCATTTTTTTGGGGATGTGATGTTTACTTCTGGTTTGAACCAAGTTATAACTTATAAGGTTTTACAAATTTCTTACAGTATCAGACATTCAAAAGTACACAGCTTTATTTATCAGTGTTTTTGTTGTTATTAATATCTTTAATCTTTCCCATCCTAACTACCTAGCATTGTGATACATTTTCACAATGTTACCTGTAATGATGTAAAATGGAAATGATTAAATTTCTCTCATCTCATCATTCTCTATTGCTGTAAATAAAAGTAAGATAATTAGAAATTGGGGCACCATAGAAAAAAATGTTTTGTCATAAACTCCTTTGTGAAGAAATGGAGGAATAATTACCTCTTTTAAAGTTAGATCTAAAGTAAGAATTTAACTTTCCTCTGACATCTTTTGATTGAGTTATTTTCTTTTAAGTTGCTTTCAAACAAATGAGATAGACTGACTGAATGATTTGAAATGAAATCCACTGTCTTACAAATCTCATCTAACTGTGTATAATTATGCGCAAATTAAAAAGTCATATAAACAAAATTATGTTAAAACATGCTTTGACGGACAATATTAGTTTGTGGAATGATTGATGAGAAAACATAATCTCGTCTATATCAATGTCATTACCAAGGATTAAACCAATACACAGTTTTAATGAAAAAACACAAAAATAACATTCAAAATTAAAACTGGATTATAATTTACTAAAATCAAATGACATGGTTACAGAATAAAACAATAATGAATCATTACCAGTATATCTTTTTATCTAAAAGTCTGTGCCTAGAAAAAATTGTTTCAGAACACCTTTTAATATGTTGAATTAGACCAATTTCCTCATCTTCTCCTCTATTTGTCTTTAATTTCAAACAGACAGAACAATGAAAAGGTTTTTCACAGAGCCTATTTTTGTTCTGTCATTTTCGCTGACAACAAAAATATACTCGGGAATAATATTAATGTACAATTTTACGATACTGGTTGATCATATCATGTTCATACGTATTATGTTGGATTGATCTTTAGGTAAGATACAGGATTGAATCCAATAAGACAAAAGCCTTAATATGAATGTGTAATACAGCTTTTGAACCAAAAGAGGTCAGCAATAGACCTTTCAGTCAGGGAATGGTGGAAAGATAAATAAGTAGTTATAGAGACATTAAGGAAATGTCAATGTTTTAATGTTTTCTTTACAGAAAACATGGTTGTTTATTTATGTTTAATATGCAGTCATACATTATCTTCCAATTGTATTAATACAATCAAGTAGTTTCCAGTTAAAACCAGTTGAATTAAGCAAGGTATGACCAAAACATAACCCTTTTTGTACTATTAATCTGAACTATAGGTAGAAAAACATATAAATGTTTTGATGTCGTTCTATTAAATGTAGAATAGAGATCAATGTTTACTGATGTCTGTTCAAACGCATCAGCTTTGTCCAGCCTCCAGAATTATCTCTGTGACCATATAAATTATTTATGTGTTCAACTCTGTCCCAGATCCCCAGTTTGCTTCATGTTCCAAATTCAGCCTAATTTTTTTGTTGCCACTGAGCTGCAGTATGAGGATTTCTTTAGTCGGGAAAAAAATAAGAAATTAAAAAAATCATATTTTGCAAATTTTGAAATTATGTTATAGTGCAATTCATGTATAACTAAATATAGAATTTTAAAGGATTTACAGCTCCTCCTCAAGAGAGACAACTCCTGTCAGCCCACCCCTCTCTACTGGAAGAGTCGCTCTGATTCCTCTGTCTGCATCAGTTTCATTTCAACCTGATGACTACAGCTGCAGGCACTGTGTGGAGTCAGGCTATTTGGTCTTTAAATGTGTATGGTTATATTTGCACCGGTAAGTAGGCTTTTTGTATTTGCTTTCCTGTTTGAGCAGATTTTTGCATATGCTTTCTGATTATTGTTTCTATAAATGTAAAGTTCTCGTTACTCATATGCAAAATATTGCATATGAGTATAGAGACCTTTATGTGATCACAACAGATATTTTTAGTCTGATGATGTGGTGAGAGATTACACCTTACTGGTTTGAGATGAGGGGCATTTTTCATTGTTTAAAACTGAAGAAAAGCTGTTGCCTCACAACAAAAAGCTTTTAAATTTTTAAAAATGATGAAAATGTGAGCACATATCAATGAGGGGGTCCAGATTTGCATATTACATGAACAAACAGGTCCTGATTCTACTGCTGTGGGCTCCCTCCAGGGCACAGTTTGCAGCTCTGTTAATTATCTTCCTTCCTTTCAATTATTCAGGATTTGTTGTGAAACTCATTTTGAACTGTAATAATCTCTCATCTGATTTATTGATGTGCAATTATTATGCAGCAAGCTCACGCAATCCCTGTTTTCTAAAGGACTCAAACAAAGAAATACTAAACAGATGGTTATGCTTTCATAAGCTTTTCTTTTATTTGTATATTGATAGATTTTTGCCATTTGTGCATTTGCCACCTGTGGAGGATACCATGGCCATCTCCAGATTAAAGTGGACTGTGCAGCCCGGATACAGAACAACCTCAGCATTAATATTGATTTTGGATATCCTTTCAGGTAAATCTGGATCAGAAAACAAGTTTATTTAAAAAACAAAGCACATTAAAATTGAGGCAAGTCAAAAATAATTTTCTTTGTCACTCATAATAGATAAGAAAAAGACAAATTGAATTCTCTCCATGCAGCCACCTGATCAGCGGGTAGCAAACTGTTGTAATATTTTATACATAGACCAGACTTTTACTCTCAAGTAAAAAAGAGAGAGCTGCTCTCTATTGAACCCAGTTTAAATCTAGACAGCTGAGCAGGGATGTCGACCCACTTTAACATCTCCCGGTCTTCAGTGTTTTTTTTATGTAATTGTCTTTCCATCAATAACGATATTTTACACATAACCTTGTACGTTTCTTTAAAGAATATTACTCATTTAAATGCAAAAAGTTCAGGTTATGAAATGTAAAAATAAAGAAATATGATACGTTTAAAAAGAACTAATCATGAAAATGAGAAACTCGGTGATGTCAGCTATGAACAGACAAAAGTAATATTTATTTTTCCTTAAACTACAGCGATTCTTAATTTTTGGGTGCATTTCTAGAGATTTGTTCACACCATATAGTTTTCATTCTAGAAAGTAATTAATGAGTAAATGCAATTTCATCACACAACAGTTCTAAATTTGCATTTTATAATTTGGTTAAAACAACTTGGTGAAACTGATTTTGCATAAAATGCAGATACTCGATATTTTAAAGTTTCCATTTTCCATTCTAGTTTGCCTACAAACAAAACCGTTCCACATTCCCTTGAACTCCTATTATGCTGAAGTTATCCAAAGCACTTTACCTAAACATACAATTTTCTCTAGTATTAAATTTATGGTTTCAGTGAATTGCAACATAAAAAAATAAAAAGGAATGCATGACCTACTTAAATAAGAACATGATAATTGTATTTTAAACATCTTCTAAAACTAGTATTTTTTGTTTTGTTTTGCATACTTTTAGGAATACTGTAGCCTTTTGACCGCTTATAGAGTAGGGAGAGATTAACCAACTAATATTAGGTAGTTGCTAAGAATGTTTATCTACTTGGCATGCCAGCCTTAAACCAACATACCCCTTGCAGTCTTTATCTTTCCGCAAATATTGAAAAACTGCCAAATCTGTCTAGGTTTCATTTACAAGTGTATAAGCTTAATTCTTTTTTAGTTAAGAACAAGTAGGGGGGGGGGGGGGGGGGGGGGGGGGGGGGGTGCAGCGGCCAATCCATACTGGATCCTTATACCGGTAGGTTTCAAACAGCAGGATGAAATATTACTTTGCTTTGGTGTTTTACTGGCCTCCAAGCCTTTAAAACCAGAGGAACAGTACAAAAAAATATATATTTTAGAAGTTTAAATAAAAATGAACCTTTTAAAAGCCAGCTAGTTAGTCATATTTTTATTTTATTTTATGTCTGTTGTGTCTTCTGCAACAAAGTATTCATGCAAAATGGTATATTCCAAAATTATTTCCTGGCATAAAACATGATATGCAGTGGTGTGATTGGCATATTAGTTTTCTTAAGAAAGGAGCGTTACTACTGTATCTAAGATTTTAATATAGCTCCATATTGGTTTGATATGATTACAGAGATTATCTTTGTCATTCAGCACTGTATTGTTTTGAACATAATGCATCTTAATTAAGTTTAAGTCAAAGGCTGACTAATTTTTTTATACTATATTTCTTCTCCCTCTATTTCCCAGTAAATGCAACACTTGTTGTCAACTTCTCCTCATACTTGTTAAAGTAATATGCTCCCTGACAAAGTCTAAATAAAAGCAATTATTGCCTTATAGTCTATTCTATCAATGTTAAGATCAATGTGGTGGAAAATAACACTATTGAAGCATTGTTGAGTGAAAACCAATCATTTAGTTTTGTTAAAAGTATCTTGCAAAATATGAGAGGAGATTGCCAGTGTCAGACTTAGTAGCATGACAGAGAGATATGCAAAATATTTACAAGAGCAGCTTTAAGAGCAAGCTTTCCACCAAGTAAATGTGAGAGTAGATATCTCAAGGATTTTTTTTTTATGTTACAGCTGCAAAAGCAGCTCTGGAGGACAACTTTCAGAATCACAAATAGCATAAACGGAATCTACAAAAACCTCATAAGGATATGAAAGACATAAAATGAGCCATACATTTAACAGAGTCATACAATTTTAGATAGTTTGAGATAAGTTGCAAACTTTTACATTACATCAGATGTCATCTGGGTCATCTTTTGGCAGATATTTGATCTCACTGCTGATGGAGAGGTTGGAATCAAAGAAATGAACCCTGCAGACATTTGCTCTCTGCTGTATATAAAACAGTAAACATCAGGATTATCTGTAATTGATTGAGTTATTTATGTTATGCCACCTGAGCAAATAATCATAAGAGAAAAGCCCAACTGGTTTGCAGGACATTCAACCATCATTTTAGGCAAAGAGATGCAGGTTATTTGAAGTTTCAAAATGTGCATATTTTTTCTGGTGTTGTGGTTGTAACTATCTCCCGGATATAATGGTTAAATACATGTTTTTCACAACTGCTTCAAAAGACAATTAAAATGTAAGTGGATAAAGGCATATTCTTCCTTCAGGGTTAATCTAAAACATTATTTCTTATAACTCTAAACAATCTGTTCATGTTTTGTAGGTTGCAGCAGGTTCATTTCAGAGCACCCTTGTGTGAAGCAATGAGAGAAGAAGTGGTTTTCTTTAATGGCGACTTCTCTGCAGCTGCTCAGTTTTTCGTAACCATAGGTGTTTTGGCATTTCTTTATTCCCTCTTGGCAACAGTTGTCTACGTCTTCTACCAGAACAAGTACCTGAAGAATAACAGAGGCCCTCTAGTGGTTAGTGACATTTCTACAGTTCCCTTGTTTAATCAGGTGTACTTTGTTAAAATGACACAAAGCATCATTTATATGTTGTCTTTCTCTCCTGCACACCGCTACAGGATTTTCTTGTCACAGTCATCTTTTCTCTGACATGGCTGCTTAGCAGCTGCAGTTGGGCTAAAAGCCTTAATGATATCAAGACAGCTACAAACCCAACAGAGATGCTTCTTCTCATTGCTGCCTGCAGAGAGAAAGGGAATAGATGTGCAGCCACACAAGAACCCTCCTGGTCTCGCCTAAACACTTCTGCTGTAGGTATTAAATCAAACAGGAACACAATTTGGACATGATGATTCAATAACAACGGTTACTTTTTTTTTCAACTGACAGGTTTTTGGTTTCGTGAACGTGGTCCTCTGGTCTGGAAATATTTGGTTCGTCTTTAAAGAGACGGGCTGGTACAAGACTGGTCAGAGATACCCAAGCAGGACCTCTTCCAGAAAAAGATCTAGTGAAATGCATGAGAGACTCTACAGTGAATCTAGTTTTGACCAGCCAGATGAGAACTTTGGCCCCTTCAGACAGGAAAGTTTCACAGAGTCAAGAGGGGACTTCGATAAACAGGTCCAGAGACAAGCTAGCATCAACCAATCACAAGTAAGCTTTAGCTTACCAGAGACTTATCTGGGCAAAACTGGGTTTTATGAAAGAGAAAATAAAATTGTTTCTCAAGGACCTGTGATTTTCGTTAATGAGATGTAACCCTTACAGAATTTGTTATTCATGTAACAATTTATGTAATTTATGTAACAATTCCTAATGGATATGACAGTCACAGGTATTTTTAACAAAAGCGTTAAAGTGGGTTTCACACAGAAACAGTGAAACTAAGTAATAATTAACGAAAGGCAAAGATAAGATAGAAACACTTGAATCCTTCAGTGATGGCAAGGTTCAGATCGAACCTTGCCATCACTGGCAAGGTTCGGTCAGAATGTATAGGCCCTTTCTGGTGTGTTTTTGATAAGCAGATTAGGTATATGGTGTAAACATGTACACAACATCTTTTTCAGGTCTAATTTTTATACTGAACTCGCAAAATCTGAGGGACATGTAGGTCAAATTCTGAAATATTTTTCTGAAAGTAAAAAAAAGCAGAAACAACAACAGGAAAGGAGAGGCAAAAAAAGACTTGGTAAATGCCATCAGAGCATCTATAGAAATATTGATAAAGATTGATTGATTGAAAATTACGCACAAGTCTATCTCACTGAGTTTAATATGGAAAAGACAACATAGAATAGACTAGAATAGACTAGAATAGAATAGACACAACCTTTGATGGTTAAACTCAGGTAGCCTATACCAGCAGCCAAGTAACAGGCAAATAAAATTATGCTGATCAATAGATTCACAGCTAAACACACACTTAAACTTCCTGTCATTACATAAATAGCTTTCTGTTTTAAAGGGTAATCTTCCTTTATGTTTCATTTCTCTTATGGGTTATAGGATACAGTATGTGTGCAGTATGAAAAGTTCAGCACCACTAGAAGAACATATGTGATAGATTTTTGGTTTTATATAGACTGATTCATTCATAGATATATGGTTTGCTTTTGTAGTTTAGTTGTTTGTCTCTTTATTGATGGGTTCCTTGATGTTTAAATTATTGTATCACCTTGATGTCTATATTTGGAGATTTTAAATGTGGTAGTTTCCTTGATTGTTAATTCTGTAAAAACGCTGTTGTTGTTTTATCTTTTTGAGGTTATTAAGGGATAAAAAAAAATCAAATTAAGCTCTTTGACAGATAAACAAAGCAGGATTTTTCAATTTATTACAAAAATATTGGAATGTTTTTACATATTAGGTAGTTTTGTTGTATGAAGTTTTTTTTCTTCTGTTTTAAATATTTTAGTAGTGGCTGTTTAGATGTGAAAATCAAGTCCAATTAAATGTTACTGTTAAATATTGTTCTTCTTTAATGTGAGCATACATTTATCCTCTTTATTTCTATGGAAAGTGAATCAAAGCATAAGACATTTGATGTAAAGTTATCTTAAATAATAAATATAAGAAGTTTACATTTGGAAAGTATAATGGACACTTTATTTTTAACTGCAGCTGTTGTTGAAGGATACATTAAACAGTTTCTGAGAATAAAAAAAAAAAAAAAAAAAAGATTACCTTTACTGCGCAGCCTTAGGGATAATCGCTCCTTGTATTTAAATCATCCATGTTAAAACTGTTACAATAATAAGGACTTAAATAACTAAAATTTCTTGTCTCTATACATACTATCATACATCTAACTCCTGTGACACAATCCAAAACTTACACTGAGTTAGCATGGAAGCTGAAAAATAAAAAAACATGATTAAACTCATTAGGGTGCGACCAGAGGTGCCAAAAATACTAGTATTAGTAATATTAGTAATGTATAAGTAAGAGTAGCACTATTTTAACATTTTCGTTTACTGACGTAAAAGGAGAAAGTAGTTATCCAAGAATTTACTCAAGTACTAGTAAAATGGCTACTCAACTACTGAGTAAGGTAATATCGTCTGATTAAATGTTTAGAGTTTTAAATCAGCTAGAAAGTTCTGTACAAATTCTTTTGTTTTTAAGTGTAAAATAAATAAAAAATAATAATATTTTAGTTACAAAATGAAAAAGTAGGGCAGAAGAAACACTTCTCCAGATCATTTTTTGACATAAATCTATATCTTTGTTGAAGCAAAAGTATTAATTTTTGGAAAGAATAAAGTAATTCCAGCAAAAATATGTTCTATTTTCTATATATACACTTGATTTCTTGTAGCTCAAGTTACTCATGTTGCATCTATGGCTGCGATGGTCTACATTCAAAGTAGCATCTATGCTTTATTTATCCATGGTCAGTAGGCCTAAAAAGAAATTGGTATAAAACATATCAAATTATTTTTTCTTTTTATCAGGATATCTCTTCTCTTACCAAAGTCAACATATTCTACATGAATGTATAGATAATCTTTTTGTTGAGCTTTCTTAATCTTACATTAACCAGCTTTGTTTTTAGAGTTATCTGGATAAATCAGAATAAGAATTACTTTATTAATCCCTTAATAAAGAAATTCTTTTCTTGCAGTGCACCTGTTTACAGAAAAGCGAAAGATAAGATTGTAAAGTAAGTACAATAGAACAAAAACAAACAATATATAATAGAAAAATAAATTAATAATAAAAGCAGGCTATCACACAGCCATATATTTTTATACAAATATTTATAAATATATGTATAAACATAAAACACTAAATCAGCTTTATTATCTTATAAAAGTTTACAAAAGTTGTTCTGATTTATAATCTTTTTCTTAAAAGTAAGCAAACCCCATTTAAATGTATAATAAATCATGAAATGTTAGTTATCTCTCACAATACAATTTATTGTCCATGAACATTATTTATTACACCTAATCAGCTATTACATTTTGTAATCATTTGCAAATAGATCCGATTGATAATAAACTGCATACATACAATAGAACAAAACTCCAAACACTTCTTCCAATTATAATGATTTCTATTGGACAGCACATTTTAATGATATAACAGTTCATAAAGTTAATTAGAGTTAATATATCTAACCCTTATGTAAAATAAGGAGGAGTTACTTCCCAGTAGACTATGGTAGAGTGACCTGTGGTTTCACCACTTCATTTTTTTAAGCTTGGCTAATAGCGGAAAACTGTATAACAACCTAACTAAATCAAACCAACATGGTTCTCATATGACAGCAAATGGCTTACAATTGAATTAGAATGTTATAGAAAATACTGCAGTCATTCACCCTAAGTTTAATGAAACAGCTATGCAGGATTATGGGAGTTTAAACAATTAGTCATGTAATGTAAAACACTTTTATGGCAATAAAACAATAAATGTGTTTGAAAGATTTGCTTCTGGAATTAATCCAGGCGAAAAGGTGTGAGGATTCTCACAGGGAATTGCTTAAACAATGTCTTTAAAATATATACTTTTTTGAGTCTGTAGAATATAAATATCTGGCTGGCTTGCCTAATATGGAAGCAGTTGTACTGCATTATGTAGTCCTGTTTCTGACCTTATGCTCACTTAGCAACAGGGTTCTTACTGGCAGACTCGCACGCAATCAGGTCATAAGCTAAGAGATTTCCAGGAAGAGCGTCCAGTCATGAACACACATCCACACAGTGCGATGTGGAAACTATAAATGCCATTTATGGAAGCTCATTGGTAGAATTCCCTTATGACATAAAGAAGGCCACGATTCACACCATTTTATCATCCGGAGGGGGGACACATTTAATTACAAACCAAAATCATACAGCTGTCTTAAAACACTTCATACATTCAGCACTGCATCGTCAAAAATTCTGTTATCACCCACCTTCAGTCTTTTTCAGGGTGGCATTTATAGTTTCCACATTGCACTGTGTGGATGCACGTGCACGACTCGACGCTCTTCCTGAAAATCTCTTAGCTTATAACCTGATTGAGTGCGAGTCAGCCAGTTCTTGTGTAACTCCGAGTATGTAGACTCTCTGTTTACATGCTGCATTCTCTGTGTTGCAAAGTGAGCATAAGGACAGAAACAGGACTACATAACGCAGTACAACTGCTTCCATATTTGGCAAGCCAGCCAGATATTTATATTCTACAATTTAACCTAGGTTGGTACTGTCCTGTGCTGAAAAGGCTGGCGCCTGTCTGCCTCTGCTGTGCAGTCACCACTGGCCCTGTCCAATGCTGAACCTGATTTAACCTGGGGTAGTACTGTCCAGTGCTGAAATGGCTGGCCCCTTGTCTGCCACTGCTGTGCAGTCACCACAGGCCCTGTCCAGTGCTGAACCTGAGGAGCCTCGTATGGGCGCTGTTGAAGGAGTTAGGGTCCTGTCTGAAGTGCTTGTTAATGGCAAATGGTTAAATTCTGAAATATTGAAAAGAATTTGATGGACGGGTTTCAGAGGTTGAGGGATGTGCAGCCCCCCAGAGGTCCTCAGCCAGAACAAATAACTTGTCTGTCCCTGCTGTGCAGTCACAACAGGCCCTGTCCAGTGCTGAACCTGATTTAACCTGGGGTGGTACTGTCCAGTGCTGAAATGGCTGGCGGCTTGTCTGCCCCTGCTATGCAGTCACCACAGGCCCTGTCCAGTGCTGAACCTGATATAACCTGGGGTGGTACTGTCCAGTGCTGAAATGGCTGGCGCCTTGTCTGCCCCCGCTGTGCAGTCACCACAGGCCCTGTCCAGTGCTGAACCTGATTTAACCTGGGGTGGGACTGAGGAGCCTCGTATGGGCGCTGTTGAAGGAGTTAGGGTCCTGTCTGAAGTGCTGGCTAATGGCAAAGGGTTAACTTCTGAAATATTGGAAAGAAATTGATGGACGGGTTTCAAAGGATGAGTGATGCGCAGCCCCCAGAAGCCCTCAGCCAAACAATGAACTTGTCTGCCCCTGCTGTGCAGTCACCACAGGCCCTGTCCAGTGCTGAACCCGATTTAACCTGGGGTGGTACTGTCCAGTGGTGAAATGGCTGGCGCCTTGTCTGCCCCTGCTGTGCAGTCACCACAGGCCCTGTCCAGTGCTGAACCTGATTTAACCTGGGGTGGTACTGTCCAGTGCTGAAATGGCTGGCGCCTTGCCTGCCACTAGTGTGCAGTCATCACAGGCCCTGTCCAGTGCTGAACGTGAGGAGCCTCGTATGGGTGCTGTTGAAGGAGTTAGGGTCCTGTCTGTAGTGCTGGCTAATGGCAAAGGGTTAAATTCTGAAATATTGGAAAGAATTTGATGGATGGGTTTCAAAGGATGAGTGATGTGCAGCCCCCAGAAGCCCTCAGCCAAAACAATTAACTTGTCTGCCCCTGCTGTGCAGTCACCACAGGCCCTGTCCAGTGCTGAACCCGATTTAACCTGGGATGGTACTGTCCAGTAGTGAAATGGCTGGCGCCTTGTCTGCCCCTGCTGTGCAGTCACCACAGGCCCTGTCCAGTGCTGAACCTGAGGAGCCTCGTATGGGCGCTGTAGAAGGAGTTAGGGTCCTGTCTGAAGTGCTGGCTAATGGCAAAGGGTTAACTTCTGAAATATTGGAAAGAAATTGATGGACGGGTTTCAAAGAATGAGTGATGTGCGGCCCCCAGAAGCCACCAGCCAAACAATTAACTTGTCTGCCCTCTGCTGTGCAGTCACCACAGGCCCTGTCCAGTGCTGAACCCGATTTAACCTGGGATGGTACTGTCCAGTAGTGAAATGGCTGGCGCCTTGTCTGCCCCTGCTGTGCAGTCACCACAGGCCCTGTCCAGTGCTGAACCTGAGGAGCCTCGTATGGGCGCTGTAGAAGGAGTTAGGGTCCTGTCTGAAGTGCTGGCTAATGGCAAAGGGTTAACTTCTGAAATATTGGAAAGAAATTGATGGACGGGTTTCAAAGAATGAGTGATGTGCGGCCCCCAGAAGCCACCAGCCAAACAATTAACTTGTCTGCCCCTGCTGTGCAGTCACCACAGGCCCTGTCCAGTGCTGAACCCGATTTAACCTGGGATGGTACTGTCCAGTGGTGAAATCGCTGGCGCATTGTCTGCCCCTGCTGTGCAGTCACCACAGGCCCTGTCCAGTGCTGAACCTGATTTAACCTGGGGTGGGACTGTCCAGTGCTGAAATGGCTGGCGCCTTGTCTGCCACTGTTGTGCAGTCACCACAGGCCCTGTCCAGTGCTGAACTTGATTTAACCTTGGGTGGTACTGTCCAGTGCTGAAATGGCTGGCTCCTTGTCTGCCCCTGCTGTTCAGTCACCACAGGCCCTGTCCAGTGATGAACCTGATTTAACCTGGGGTGGTACTGTCCAGTGCTGAACCTGATTTAACCTGGGGTGGTACTGTCCAGTGCTGAAATGGCTGGCGCCTTGCCTGCCACTAGTGTGCAGTCATCACAGGCCCTGTCCAGTGCTGAACGTGAGGAGCCTCGTATGGGTGCTGTTGAAGGAGTTAGGGTCCTGTCTGTAGTGCTGGCTAATGGCAAAGGGTTAAATTCTGAAATATTGGAAAGAATTTGATGGATGGGTTTCAAAGGATGAGTGATGTGCAGCC